AGAATAACACAATGGCGCAACATATATCTTACTCGTGATCTGTCTGCAGAACCCAATGAACGACCATCTTTTCCTGGTTGTCAAGATTCTTAACCACGTCAATACACCTTTGTTTGAAAGGTGATATTAATAAGCTACTTAACTTGGGACTCCCTTTTGGTCTTCCAACATCAACAACGCCAGTGTTTGTCCCATTTTTGTGTCTTTATTTTGGTTTATTTTCTCTTTATTTTTTCCCCACTCGTAGGATTTTCGTGGTTTATTTGGTCTAATTCTGTGCTTTTGCGTTTTCCTCTTTAGTTTCGTTTTGTGCGTCTTTTTGCTGTGTTTTGTTTCGTGTTTTTCCGTGTTTTTGTTTTCAGGAGGTAGGTTGTGTCGGTCGAGGATGAGACTGCTAGAGCTGAGGCCGGGAAATCAAGAATACCCATTGTCGTGCCCAGAACACTGAAGAAAGGACCGAAAAAACGGACTGAAGAGCTGCCCAGCATTTCTCGCGACTCGCGAGTCAGAGTCGCGACTCGCGAGTCCAACAGAGCCGAAACGATGATTTTCGCGAGACGAGTCGCGACTCGCGAGTCAAGGTCGCGACTCGCGAGTCAAGGTCGCGACTCGCGAGATAGAGTCGCGACTCGCGAGTTCGGTCGCGACATTCCCCAGAAAATAAAGATATCTGAAGACGCGCGACTCGCGAGATGTCGCGACTCGTGACCTGAAGGAAAGTGAAAGTCGCGACTCGCGACTTATGTCGCGACTCGCGACTTATGCGGCGCGATTTTCGAGGACGAGATTTTAATTTCAGAATTTCGACCTAGACATGATAATTCACATTCCAGACTTCGTTTTTACACTTTTTCTTTCTAAAAACTCATTCCTTTCGATCTTTTTACTCTTTGGATTGGATTTTGGAGATTAAAACTCTACTTTCCTTGCTTTGGATTGGATGTTTTTGGATTCAACATTGAACTATCATTATTAATCGTAAGTTTTCTTTTCTCAATTGTGTGATTGATGATGATGGCTTGGATTTTTATGAGTTTTGATGTTGAATTCCATATGAGTAGCTAAATCCATATGCTAGGGATAGGGGATGATTGATTAGGTTCGATTATAATTGCTTGTTCTTAATTGTTCATATCTATTCAAGTTGTTCTTATTCTAGGGTTAGTAGATTGATCACCTTTCTAACCTAATTAATCAACGTGTAGAACCGAGAGGGGAGACGTTGGTCGATATAGGCTTGTTTAGAGTAGACTTCTTCGTAATAGTATTGTCTATGAGTTGTTGGAATTGATAGTTGATTGTGTACATTCACTCTCTTGTTATGAAGAGTTATTGAGAGTGAGCCTTTGGACGAGAAACGATTCAAGTCCTTTAACCGAGCAATTGATTGCCGGTAGTTGTGTTAGAATCGAAAGCAATTATCCCTGATTCCTTAGCTCTTTAATCATTTGAGTAAATTCGTTTGCTATTTAAATCGCTTTTCATTTGTTTTCAAGTCACTAGTTATAATTAAAACCAAAACCATTGAAATGGAGTGTTTAGAATTTTTTTTCTTTATCGTGATTGAATAAACGTACGATTGAATCCGGCTAACCTTCCTTGCGATACGACCCGGGGAACGAATCTTTCGATTCCACTCCGGTAAAAACACTAACAACAAAATTGGCGTTGTTTCCGGGGAAGGTTTAGGACTTTAATTGTGCGCCTATTCGTTTTTTTTTTTTTTAGTGTTTCTCTTCGTTTTAGTTTGCTAGTTTATTAGTTCTTGATTTTTTTGGTTCTTTGTTTTTCTGTAGTTTTTCTTCTTTGTTTATCTGGTGCTCGTGACGGTTTCTTGTCTTTGTGTATGCGTACCAGGAGTGGACGCAAACTGCTATCTCCGATCAACAAATCTGTCAACGAGAGCCTGAGGGAGCTGCTGGAAGAGCTTACTCTAGAATCGCACGGGGAAGACGAACATTCTCCAAAATCATCCGAAGGTAGCAACCTAGAGATGGGTGAATGACAACAACAAGCTCCCCGTAACACCCTCCGAACCTTGGCCCAGCCGGTTATCGGGCCAGTCACTTCATGCATTCGTTTGCCGGACGCTGCACGGAACTACAAGCTCAAAATGATTCACTACAACCAGCTGCCGGCATTCCACGGGCTTCCAAGCGAGGACCCACTCAACTTCATCCGAGAATTTTACAATGTCCTCAACACTTTCCCTCTCAATGACCTTAATGACGAGCAGTTGAAGCTGCGGTGCTTTCCCGAGACTCTGAAGGACCGGGCCAAGGCCTGGTTCATAACACTTGCACCCGGCTCTCTCACTACATGGACCGAGGTGTACTTAAAGTTCATTGGGAGGTATTACTCCCATCAGAAGACTCAGGAGCTCTAGTCGCAGATCGTCTCGTTTGCTCAATTACCGAATGAGTCTCTTCATGAGGCTTGGGAGCGGTTCAAGGATCTCCAACGGCAGTGCCCCCATCACAACCTCTCTCCGGGGCTACTCATGAACTGCTTCTATGATTCCCTCCACCAGAACTTGCAGTATATGGTCGACAACGCGACAGGAGGTGATATCGGAGCAAGGACAACCGAGGAGATGTTTGAGATTTTTGAGACGATGAGTACGAACTCATCACAAAAGAGCACTCAAGGCAAGTGAGCAGTAGTGAACGAGGTCGGTACAAGCAATGATATGGTGGCCCAACAGCTAGATGAGCTTACTGAGCAGATGAGGTTGCTTGCCGCACGAGGATCTCAGCCGGTTAATACATTTGCTGTTGATACATGTGGGGCGTGTGGAGTCCCAGGGCATAGATCCGAAGTGTGCCCCTCATCATTCGAGCAGGACTCGGGAGAGCAATATGCAGATGCTAGTGCCTTACAGGGATACCAGAACCGGCCAGTCAATGACCCATTTTCCAACACGTACAATCCAGGATGGCAGAACCACCCACACTTCTCGTGGTCAAACAACTCCAACACCCTTCAGCCACCCCGTCCGAACTTCATGTAGCAACAACCTCAGCCCAACTTTGTGCCCCGGCCGAACTACCAGCCACAGCAGCCACAACAGCAGCAGCAGAGGGGACCGGAAGCGGGGTCGAGTTCGAACCTCCAAGACGACATTGCCAAAATCCTTCAATTTGTGGCCAGCAGTGAGCAACGAAGTGTCAATCAGGAGGCCTCCATCAAGCGTATTGAGACGCAGTTAGGCCAACTGGCCACACGGGTCGAAGTCCTCGAGACTGAAATGAACAAGGGGAAGTTGCCCAGTCAGCCGGAGCATGTGAATTCAGTGACCGTTATTACGCCCGACTTGGAGGAGACGATGGTAGACGAGGGAGGACAAGAGGCAGAAGAATATCCGAGGAAGTTAGAGAAAATAGAAAAGGCCCCAGCGGCACCACCTTCCGTGCCAACTTTGCATAAGTCCCCAAGTCCATACAGACCAAGGTTTCTTCACCCATGCCGACTCTCGGAAGAGAAGGACAATCAGCTGATGCGAGACCTATACATGATGTTGAGAAAGGTAAATGACAATGTATCACCTTCTGATGTGTACAGGATGATACCGGCCTACGCGAGGCATTTCAAGGAATTGGCTAAGAATAAGAAACGGTTAGTGAGTGCCGATGAGGTGGTGGTATGCGAGGCGGCAAGTATCTTACATAGCGACTTGCCAAGGAAAGAGAGAGATCCCGGGGGCTTTGTAATCAACATAGCTTTCGGAAATGAGAAAGAGACCTCGGGGATGCTCGATCTTGGAGCAGGAATCAACCTCATGCCACTCGCAGTCTATCGGCAGCTTGGGCTTGGTGATTTGAAGCCTACTCGAATGCGCCTACAGTTAGCCGACCGCTCGATACGTCAACCCGAGGGTATCGTGGAAGATGTGTTGGTTCGAGTGGGGAAGCTGATAGTCCCCGTGGACTTTGTTGTGCTAGACATGGGGGATGTGTTAGAAGACGAGAGGCAATACACCATCCTTCTCGGGCAACCCTTTAGGCGACCACCAGCACTGTAATTGATGTGAAGAAAGGAACCGCGAGCATGACCGTGTTGGGGGAGTCCATCTTCATTTCCGACCGAGGGACTCAGCCTGAGCCGCAGGTGACGATTGAGGAAGAGGGTGCACTTCTTCGAAAGATGGACCAACTTACTGAGGAAGCGTGTAAGCGAGGATTCACGCAGAGGCCACTGCAGGGCCATGTCCATAACAACCGACACATTGCCACCCCTCAGCTAGTTTCGATGGAGCTGCCCCGGTCCCTCTGGAGGCGAAAGATATGATGTGTCAGACGCCCGTTGCTGTTCGGGGCCTGACTATCTCGACCCTCCGCGTGCACCACCGAACTCACAGTGACTAGTCTAGTCACTGTGCTCTGTACAATTGTATCTCTCCCTTTTTCTTTTTGCCTTTTGTTCTATTTCTTGCTTTTCTTTTTGGTAATTATTCAGGTAATTTGGTATTTTTATCTTGCTTTTCTTTCTATTTCAGTTATTTTATAAAAAAAAAAATTATTATTATTATTCGCGACTCGCGAGATATGTCGCGAGTCGCGACCTGCCCTTTGAAAATTTGGGCGAACTCTCTGTTCGACCCGCGACTCGCGAGCAAAAAGTCGCGACTCGCGACTTGAGAGTTCGCGACTCACGACTTGAGAGTTCGCGACTCGCGACTTGAGAGTTCGCGACTCGCGACACATGTCGCGAGTTGCCCCACGCATTTTTTTATATCGGCCTCAGTTTGATTCGCGAGTCGCGGAAATCTCGCGACTCGCGACCATTGTTGCGACCGGATGTTGTGACTCGCGACCGGACGTCGCGACTTACCTGCTACTTATTGGATTAAAATCGTGATTTTACTGTGCAGGATTATATCTCTCTCTCGTGCGACGACAAATGCAGAATTACAGCCAGTAACCTCGCGACCCCCAATCTCTCTCTCGTTCGAAGCAACCGTCACCTCCAGCAAATTACGACCACCGCGTCCGCATCTCTGATCACCGTCGACCTCGCCGGCATCCTCTCCATTCCAGTTCCCTCTCAGCGCCGCCCTTCCACCACGCGAAATTCACCAACCCTAGGTCTGTTTCTCCTCGATTTCGCCGGAGTTCGCCTTGTCTCCGTCTAGCGACCCTCTCGCCGACGTCCTTCATCGCCGGGCAGGAAGCTCCTTCAGCTCCGACCACGGCCAGTGGTTCTTTTTCCGGCACATCATCATAGCTCCACTTCCAACTTTCACAGCTTCCGAATTCACTTTCGTGCCCACAAGGTGTTCGATGAATTGCCCAAGTGAGCTTCATATTCCAAATGGTTACCAGCCTGGTGGGATGCTCAGTTTGGTTCTGGCGCCGGCCAGCCCTATCCTCCTCCTCCTCCTAGTCCAGAACCACAGTGACTTGTCACTGTGTTGGTCAGCTTTTCTTTTCTTTTCTCTTTTTATTTTTATTTGTTCTTTTCGTCTTCTCTTTTATTTGTTGAGTCAGTTGATTATGTAGTACAACTTCCCTTCGCCGAGAGTCGACAATGGGGACATTGTCTGATTTTAAGTGTGGGGGAGTTTTTGCATGTTTTATGTGGCTATTTGGTTGACCAGGTCTAGTTTCTCTTTTTAGGTTGTTTTATTTCTTTCTTTTGCGTGGTGGACCAGCCTAGATTTAGGTTTCTATTTGTTTCTGAACTTGGATTATGGTGAATTGTAAGACTGATTGATAACTGTTGGTTGAATTTGAGAAGTAGTGATGATGTGATCGAGTAATGCATTTTGATTAATTGGCTTGGTTATTTTGAGGAACATATTTACCTTGTGAGGTTTGAGCCTATTTTGTTTCTTGTGTGATATTGGTCGGAATCTTGTCAAGTAGAATTTGCCTTGAGACTGCTTTGAAATAACTCGATTAAATTTGTGAAACATGAATATGATTGAGGCATTTCTTGTATTACCCTTTTCCTTTTTATTTTCGTGAATAACAGTCACTAGTTACCCTTTGAGCCTTGATCGATTTTATTGATTAGCCTCGTGATGATGATATAGAGTTGCGGGTTGAATGTTGGAGGTGATAGTTGATTGCATTGCATATATGTTTATTTGCTT